GAAAATAAATAAAGATAATAATATTAATGCTATTTTTATATAATTTAAAATTTAAATATTATGTAAATAAATATAGATTTAAATATTAAATTTTTAAATACATAAATTTATGGAATATGCGTAAGTCCCCCATAGACAAAGAAGCCGCTACCCATCGCATACCAAGACAATGAAAAAGCCCATAACTTTTTGGTAGGTGGTTTTGATTGAGGGCAAGGCGGCTTAAATTTTCCATAAAATTAGGGCCGTGAAAATCTGGTTTTGAGTCGGGTTCTGATCCAATCCAAAATCAATCCATCATTATTTGATATGATTTGAAGTTGACTCATTTTAAAAAACAGGTCAGATTCTTAATCCCAAACCCAACCTATCTCGGGTCCGGATCAATCTGACATGACCTGCCTCATGCGGTTTCATTGTAGATGACGCTGACAGCAAACAGACGGTGGACGGCGAACGGCGAGGTAGCGATGGTGTGCAGGAAGGTGAGGAATCTATGGCGAACAGACTAGCAGCATACGCAACTGTAGTTGGCACCCCTTCGAACAAGATGGACGAACGTGATTTTGACATTGATTTCGAGTAATAGACGACGCATATATGCGATTTCTCAAGTCAATCGGATTGATTTTGAATTTCTGAAAAAACTCGAACTCGACTCACTTTTGCAAACAGGTCGCGAACTTGAACCCGAATATGACCCGTATGGTAAACAAGCTGAACCAAACCCGAATTTTTCCTGGACCAGTCCTGGTCAGATTTCGATTCGTGTAAGATTTTGACACCCTCCATAAAATCAGGGTGAGTTCAATTTTAACAAATACTTATAATTTTTAATAATTACATCTTCTTATAATATTTAATATTACCAATATAATTTAAATATTTTAATATCTAATTTTACACTTATTTATTTGCTTACACTTATTTATATAACATTTAAATTTTTAGAGCACATAAAAATATTAATATAATTATTAATTTATATTAAAATAAATTATATACAATATACTTATCGTGATTTGTAATATCTCAAAATATTATTTTAAATGACAATATATAAATATATTAATGTGATTTAAATATTAAAATATATTTTAAATAAATAAACTTTTCAAATTTCTGTATAAATATATAAAAATTATTCCCCATCAATTAACTGAACGCCCAAAAGATAGAAAAAATTAAAGGGACGAAAAAAGTAAAAAAAAAAAAACTAATAAAACATTTAATTATCCACTTTAAAATATTTTCTCGCATTTTCTCTAATTACTTAAATTGATATTTAATATCTTTCATGCTTCACAATCTCTCTCTCTCTCTGCTCCGACAAACTCTACATTGTATAGACAATCCACAGAAACATAACTAAACCTAACGCTATCCAATAAGACGGCCGATTCAGACATCGCCGTAGGACTCATCGGCGCTGGGTTGGCAATTCAGATCGGGGAACTTGAAACCCATCCCCATCTTCTTCGCCTTCTTCTGCAGAAGAAGCGCGTCGACGGCCTCACCGACCTCGGCGGCGCGCTTTCTAACGAAAGTGGCGGATAAACCGCCACCGATGCCGCCGGAATCAGCGGAGGGTATATCATCGGGGAAGTTGAGAAACGCGGACCGACCGCGTAGGTAAAATACGGCGGTGTCATAAGCACGTGCGGCAGCGACCGGTGAAGCATAGGAACCGAGCCATATCCGAGATCGCTTATTGGGTTCTCGAATCTCGGCGACCCACTTTCCCCACTTCCGCATACGAACACCGCGGTACGGCCTCTGCTTTTGCTCCGACGGCGAGGTCTCCATGGCGATCTGGTCTGAGAGAAGGAAAAAAATGGGTTTTATAGAGAGAGATATGGCCGGTGCTGGGGCAGGCTTTTCGCCACGTAAGAGAAGCTGAAGGAAGTGGGCGTGGGGAAGGGGAGAAGGGGACGAAGTTTCTAATCAAGGGAAGGCACCGACATATGTAATATCCGGGAAGGCGCCGACGTGGGATCGCCGCTTGTCATAGCGTGGCGGCTTAGGAAACGTGACGACCACCGACGTGTACTTCGGCCCCATCACTTCTTCACGCTTATCTTTATAACAGCGAAAGATGAGGACAGCAAAGCAAATAAAAGAATAAATTCTATTTAATTATTATAAATATTATGCCGCACATCATAAAATAATAATGTTAGCATGGTCCAAAAGATGGTCAAATTCAAAGTTTTTTGTTTTTAAATTTAAGGGTCATGCTCAATCTTCATTGGTAACTTTTAATTATAAATGTGAAGTTAGAAGACATTAAAACAAAATTATAGATAATAGTACAAAATTGATTAGCCAGAGCAATTATTAAAAATTAATTAAAAAGAGAGATTTATATATGCTAACACAAAAGTCATAAATATAATAGAAATAATATGGGCTCAATACTAGGAGAGATTATTACCTATAGAGTCTAGAGGTTGAGAACCATTCGATTTTGTAAATGTGAATAATAAAAGTACTATAAAAGTGTAGTAACTGTTCATTAATGCGCTTTTACTGTTAACAGTCATAAAACAGAATGATTCTTTGCATCCGGACTATGCACATAATAATTTCTCTAACATAAGGGTTGAGAAGATAGTATTCAAAAACTCTATATGGCCGATAAAGACCATGCATCATAAGCGGAATC